AGCACAGAGAGGGAGAGAGGAAGTAGCAGGAAAATGAAACTTATCGTCCCCATTTTTTTACCGACCTCAAAAAAAGTTATCGTGCAATTAATTGATTTATTGACTATCGCGACAGGCCTATTTTTAAGTCTTGAATGTCTTTTAATTCAAACACTTTTGGTTGTATTTCTTGTTGAAATTTTTCATTATTCAATTCAGTGTATTCAAGTCCAAGAACTAGAGGAACTCTAGAGCCAGGCAGGTTGCAAAATAGTTACTCACAAAGTGAGGTCTTTGTTGTAAAGTGAGGAGCTCTTCATTGTCCTCACTGATTTTGTAGCTCTACTGTGCTTAGTTAGGTTAGAGGTATGGTGTGAATTAAGTTTTGGTTCAGGTTAGGGTTAGAAATAGATTAATGGTTAGTTTTAATAAAAATGTCTGGGTTAGGTATAAATACAGTTACAAAAATGAATGAAAGTCAATACAATGTCCTCGGTTTGATTCAAACAAAAGGATGTTTGTGTGTGTGGCCTTGTTTTTCCTATATCGTGGGGACAATTTTCCCAAAAAAGCAGCCTTGTGGGGATTGAACGTGCATCCTGGGGACCAATGCCCAGTCCCCATGAAGCACGTTTATGCATCATTTTAGGATAAATGGTCAGGGTTAGGCTATAAAATTTCCAAAAAATAAATGGAAGTCAATGCACGGTCCCCACAAGGATATACAAACCAGATCTCTGTCTGTGGWCTTWGCTTTTTTTCTCTCGTTTTCTGCAYACAATGCACTCCCAACTTCWGCAATAAGAACGGAAAATGAATAAAACAGGGACTGAAACAAGTTCCAAGGGCCATGATCACTTTCTGACCCACAATGCTCCACAATGTCTCTTCCACCTGTTAGGGTCCACAGCCCCCCTCATTTCATGGTTTCAGTGCAGGCAGCAGAACAGCCGGTTAAAGCTGTTTAACTCTGGCTCACATAGGACGCAGTAAAATGTCCGGACTGACCTAAATTCAGCCTCACTGCGCAGACTCCGCGGACCAGTATTTATTCATGATTATTGACGGATTTCCACATGAATGCTTTCTGGCTGCACCRCGGGCTGCACCGGCAGAGAAGTGTGGCCTAAATACGTCCCACCGTTCCCACCGGCTCAGAATTATCCCCAGAACCACCATTATTGCGTACAGTGATGCTGCTAGCCTGTCCCTCCCCGCGGGCCTGCATCTGTCATCAGGACGTTCTCCCAACGACACGAGCGTCTCTTACCGTGGATGGAGACCGGTGCTGGGATCCGTAGTGTCGACGGGTCCAAAGAGACAGTATGGCTGCCGGTACCGGGGCTGTGCTGCAGGAAGTGCACCGTCCTGATGATGAATGGGAGACAGACCGGCTATGTCCGCGGATCGCTGGAGACAGGGAAAACAAGCTCCGCCCACCGAAGTCCCTGACGTCACTGGTCGACTGACGCTCCATTTTCTCAGCATCACTGCCGTCAACCTGTCTGAAAGAAGGGTGATAAACACTAGTTTAGACTGATCTGAGAATCTAACTGAGTTTAGCTATGCTCCAGATCTMTTCAGACTTCAGATTGATCTCAAACCTTTCCCATTCTGAACTCGGACTGATTCTAGGCCCTATTGTGTTGTTGCTTTTTAGTCCTTAGGCAGCAGTGACAGTAAAACGTTATTATGGATGGATGAATGGTGTAGGATGTGATGGATTAGGCCTGCTCACATTCAGACCAYGGTTGAGACAGACAGACAATGATGCTCTCCCTGTCCATGTTTTCAGCCAAGTCTGCTATGGAACCTGTCTGGCAACACTGGGTTTTAAAATATTATGCRTGGCCACGTGTTAGTTAATGTGTGGCCATAAGATAATTTTGAGCAGCTCTGTCTCTTTGTGAGATACAGTATTTATGTGATGCAAAATAGTTCCTATCAGTGAATTCTTTGATGTAAAGTGAGGAGCTGAGAGCGTCTGTTTTCTGCATCTACTTATTTTCCATCGTTTTCTCTTAACGAGAAAATAACAAGGACTGATTTCTGAAGATAACGATTTCATTTCCAGATGGTTTTCTGGTTGTTTTGGGGGGGGATTTACAACCTAGTGTACATAATTTTGTGTCATTTGTGTATCATTACACAGGCTGAAATTGTGATTTGTCTTGTACAAATAACTTTCATATCAGCCCTTGTCATCTAAGGACACAGCTGGACTGACTGCAGATCAGCAGGTGTTCACACAGTGATCCTGCAGATATAATAAATTTTATCAGTCAGCTAAGGGGGTTGGGCCATCAGTGGTTATTGAATGATACACAAGAAAACCATAATTCGTTATCTCGAGAAAATGCCCTCGTTATTTCATGATAATGACATATTATGTCTTTATTGTGAGAAAACCATGGGGAAATAATTCTAAGCGGAAAGTTGACGCTCTCGGCTTCCATAAATAAGTGTGCGTTGGGAAATTCTTTTTTTTTTTCATTTCAGAAGTTTATTCATTAAAAAAGCAACAAAACAAAAATGATTCTATAG